GCTACTGGATGTCAGAAAACTACAGGTCCAACACAGGGGAGACAAAAAGGGAACTACCAGGAAAATGCCAGAAGGTCACCCCAGGACAACAGCTGTGCATCAGGCCTACAAGGCAAGTCCCCACCCGGACTCCAGGAGAGGTGTCCAAGAAAAAGGTGTCAAGAAGAACGTTAGAGTTCTGTCAGAAAACTTAGAAAGGCTAGAGCAAAAGGAAAGCACACGAGCAAGAGGCTACGCTCCAGGCAGCACAAGAAAGAAAGCGGAACCGTTGCGTTTGAGTCCTCAGCTGTGGGCCACAGCTCCACGCTCACGATAAGGACAACCAAAGCTGACACCTCGTCATGGGTGAAGCAGCAGTTTGTGCACATGGCCTGACAATGAGAAAGGGTGAAATCTTCCCCTTCCATGTAATAAGTCGGCAGATAATGCCCAATAACAAAAAATGCTAAAATGGCAGTATATGCAGAGCATTTCAGAAGATGGAGGAAAACGGCAAAAAGAGCCAAAGACCCAGAGGCGGCTGCCTGGGGAGCAGGACTGGGGCATAAGGACAGGCTGTGGGTCCAAGCACCTATTTCTTATTACATAAGTCTTATCGTTCAGAACTCTATGTAAGTCTTATTATAAGTTTCTTACTGCGATCTTTGAAAAAATCTGCATAGAACGTTACTTTGATGGAAAAAAAGTTTACATTTTTAAAGTATGAAACAAAACCAAGGAACGTACGAAACAGCAGGCGAGAAAACTGGAGAGCGTGGGCTGCAGCAGGAAAATGACAGGAAGGTCACCGTTCTGCAAAGCCCCCGCCGTGTCCAGGTGAGAGGGAAGTCCTTCCTCTGACAGCCGGTGGAGAGGCTGTGTGCTGAGAGACGGGGAGCACCGGAGAAGAAAGGGTAGAAGAGAAATGTATCGATGCAGCATCAACAGATAGAGACGGCCAATCAGGAAACTCGGAAAGACTTGGGCAGGACAACGGCCCAAATATCTGTTCACCTGCGTATTTATGTGTTTAGTCCACAAATGCTGGCTCCTTGGGAGTGTCACAGCCCTCCGTGGAATTAGAAGCACTTTGATTTTGTGTTTAGGTTTTAACTTTGAAATTATTATGAAACACGCAAATAGCAAAATACAGAAAATAATAATGATCATTCAAGTATCCACTATTCAGCTTTTCCAAATATTAACATTTTTTTGTCATAATTGCCCCTAATTTTTATTTTATTATTTTTTTTAAATATAATTTACTGTCAAACTGCTAACATACAGTGTGCAAAGTGTGCTCTTGGTTTTTGGGGTAGATTCCCATGGTTCTTCGCTTACATACAACACCCAGTGCTCATCCCAATAAGTGCCCTCCTCAATGCCCGTCACCCATTTTCCCCTCTCCCCCACCCCCATCTAATTTTCTTTAAAGAAATAAATACTATGGGGACGCCTGGGTGGCTCAGTCGGTTAAGCATCTGAATTCAGCTCAGGTCATGAGTTTGAGCCCCGCATCGGGCTCTGTGCAGACAGCTCGGAGCCTGGAGCCTGCTTCAGATTCTGTGTCTCCCTCTCTCTCTCTGCTCCTCCCCCACTCTCACTCTGTCTCTTTCTCTCAAAAATAAACAAACATTACAAAAAATTGTTAAAAAAAAAAAAAAAAGAAAGAAATACTATGAATATCGTTGAAACCGTCTTCAGACCATTCCCTAACCCTACCCCCTAACTGCCTCACAGGACGTAACCATTAATCGGAATTTGACAGTTAACGTCTCCCTCCACTCATCTCTAAAACGAAACAATGGTTTGAATGAATTCTAACGCCTCTTTGTTGGTGTCTTAGGAGTTCTTGATGTTCTGTAATGAAAGTGCAGAAGCCTGCAGTGCTATGAAATACACAAAAATATTTCAAAATAATTTCAAACCTCAAAAACAGACTGAATCACGACGCAGTCGACGCTTTGGCAAAAATAAAAACGATAGTAACTTTATTATGATAATGTCAGTAAAAACGTTATTATCAATACTTAGGGCATATAAAAACCTAAGTTCAAGGATTTCACTGTGGTTTCCTCTCATTGTATCCGTTGGCTCCAGGGAACAATAAGGAGGTAGTTGAGCGAAACATCCTGGTTGGAGTTCTTACTGCCTAAATAACCAGGTCAGTACCGCACCTGCCTGCCACGTGTCACTGTATTCAGCTCTACCAGGCAATCACAGCAAAAATACTCTTTGAAATATTTGTAGACGGCACAGGGAATAGAGTCAATAATCCTGTAATAGTGCGCAGTTCAAAGAGTGACAGAGGGTAACTTGTGGTGACGTATATATTAGCGTATATAGTTTTGTAAGGTATATAGTTGTCAGACCACTACGTGGTACACCTGAAACAAAGAGATGTCAACTGTACTTCAGTTCAAGGCAAAGAATAGCCGGTAATGTTCTTTTTCCTTAAAAATGTCCTTCATGATGTCACAAAAAGTTATTTGCGCTGCATCTCGACCCTTGAGTGCACATCTCCTTTATCTTCTGGGTCGTAAAACAGGAAGCATGTAAAAGGCATCTCTGCTGTGTACCACAGTAGGATGCTTATCTCAAAGAAAACACATGCATGATTATCTGAGCTGTGAGCCAAACGAGTTAATAACTCCTGGAATACCTTTGTTACATGGAAGGACAACTGACCAGCCCGCTATCCGGACCCGGGTGTTTGGCAGACAGTTTCTCTACAACACTCAAGTGAGAAGGTCATTTCAGGAGAAACAACTGACAGTATTTGTTGCCAAGGATAGCCGTCAAGCTTCCAAAATAAAAATCAAGATTTTGGAAGACTTGTTCCTACCGTGAACTTCACAGCTTCCTAATACTTAAAGATTTTTCTGATAAGATCAGTGGTGATATTAACACCTGGGAGGTCTTGAAATTGCACAATAAAATGTGTTAACGTTTGTAATATCTTCATTATCTAATGATCCAGAATTTTCCAAATGACCAACAATTAATACAGTAAAAGGATACGTGGGCAAGGATTCAAAGTGCAAGAAAGACCAAAAGAACCTAATGTAAAAGAATTTTTTAAAGTTCAACGACAGGGTTTTGGATTCCATACCGGAACCAACATTTAAGAGATGACCACTTGTCAAGTTTTGGTATAGGATCAAAGAAGACTATTCACAATAATTTGAAAAGACAATTAGAATGCTCTTCTCTTTTCCAACTACATACCTGCACACACTTTATAATAAATATTTACTAGGTTATTCTTTCTGGATGTTAAAAACCACAAACACGTAATCACAGTGGTAAGTTACCATAGTTTAATCTGGGATCATTAGCAGTCATTTAGAAAAAATGAAAAATTCATTATTTATTTAAAAGTTACTGGGGCGCCTGGGTGGCGCAGTCGGTTAAGCGTCCAACTTCAGCCAGGTCACGATCTCGCGGTCCGTGAGTTCGAGCCCCGCGTCGGGCTCTGGGCTGATGGCTCAGAGCCTGGAGACTGTTTCCGATTCTGTGTCTCCCTCTCTCTCTGCCCCTCCCCCGTTCATGCTCTGTCTCTCTCTGTCCCAAAAATAAGTAAACGTTGAAAAAAAAATTTTTAAAAAAAAAAGTTACAT